TTGGAGACAGAGACATCGTGACCAGTTGGCACACAGGCTGCTTCTGAAGGGGAGGCCCTGTCAGCCTGTCTGGGCCTGGTGACAGTGGTCAGAGAAAGGGGCCACCGAATGGAAGGCTTACATTGGATGGAGATATTGAGCATCTTCCCTTGTCTCTGGAAACCTGAGTTCCTGGGAAAAGTTTTCTTCGGCTCTGGTTGCTTCATCTCCATCCTCAGAATGAGGCTGGTTTCAGACTGCTCCCGTATGTCTGTCCTTTGTACGTGGGAAATGCTCAAAACTTGCTGTTTAAGCAGTTGCTCTTGTAGCTTCTGGATTCTACATCCACAGAGTCAACCAATCGCGGGTTGAAATGAAGAAACAGTGGTCTGAATTTGTAGAGCCCCTTCTCCTTTGTCCTTATTCCGGAGACAGTAATCACTATCTCACAGCTCTGCTTTGAGGGACTTTTAAGCCTATGGGTGGAGGATGTGTCTAGATTATACTCAAAGGCTAAGGCATTTTAAATGAGGGCTTTGAGAACCTCTGGGAACCAAGAGATAACGGATACAAAAGGAGGCAGGGGGCCTGGGAGAGGCTGTAGTGCAGCTCCCAGAATCTTACGCCTTACACTCCCGTCCTCAGACACTAGCAGCTTAGGCAGCACACTGTGTTCCATAGGAGAAGGGTGCTCAGAACCCCGAAGCTTTGCAGGGCTAGGGTAAGCCAGACTGGGACTCACCTTCTCTGCCCCTTGATAGCATAGAACTCACCAGGGGCTTGTTTGGCAGCATCGTTTCTTTGGTCTAGATAAAGAAAATGAGCTCCCGCACCATTTTTCCAAACCAGAGCTACATCATAAGGTGCTGTTTGCCTGAGGGAATGATGGCCATCTTTTAGTGTTTAGTCCCGGCCCATAGGGGCCTACAGTGGTGAGGTCTAGGTTCCCCTTTGGATTGGGTGGCAAGATTGCAACTGGTCAGTGCTCATACTGATGTTTCATTTCTAATAGGATGCTCTCTGTGTCATTCTTAGCAATTTTTGCATTTTCTTAGACACACCAGCGCTTAGATGAGATGGCCTTTGTTGCCCATATAGCTTAACAACGTTAGACACAGATGTACAGAGAAGATGGGCAGGTCCTCGACCCTGCTGTCAGAGCTGAAATAGTCACCTCAGAGGTGACAACAGCACATTGGACTGGAAATCATAGCACCATTTATTCTTCTCCTGCTGTCCTCCTTGCTGTCTTCCTCTCCATTGCTCTGATTCAGAGCACACTGGCCAGAGAATGGCCACACATCCCTCACACCTTCGGTGACTGCCTCTTACTCCGTGGGCATGTGGAACTGCCATGTAGGGATTTTAGTTTCTTTCAACTTTTTGGAGTCCCGAGGATGGTTCATTTCAGGGACTTTTCTCCTTCGGCTCTTTGTCCAGTGAAGGCCGGCCAAGACAGCAAGATGTGGCTGCCAGCCCTGCCCCTGCGTTGCCGGGACAGGCAGACCTGGTATGTGGTCTGGAAAAGAAAGGAGTCGCTGGCTATAGGTGGCCCAGGGCTGCTAGGCACATCTGTCTTTAGACCCCAGTCGGCTATTTGTGTGACCCAGGTTTTGTCATGCGGTGAGAAGCGAGGGAAAGTTAGTCTCTCCATTGTTGAATGGCCACTGGGTATCCAGACGGAGGTTCTCAACCCTCTTGTCAAGAGGGTGACTAGTGGCACTTTGCCTGCAAGTGGGGTGGGCTCAGTGAGGACCAGAGCTGTTTGCTCTCCTGCCTATGAGCCCTGCTGGTGCAGATGAGGAGCTGTAGCCGTGAGGCAGCTTCCTCTGCCTTCCTGGGCCCCTGGCCTCTCCATCCTCCAGCAGGAGAAGCCAGCTTGGAAGCTTAGTATGCTTTCCGTGTAGAATTCTTGGCCATGTTGTGATGCTGAGAGCTAGTAGCTATGTGTGCAACAGGAAGCTCAAGAGAGTCCAGCGTGCCTCTCACTCTTGTTGTGGTTGGATGGTCCCTTTCTGTTTCTATGATACCACTGGGGTTGCCTGTGGTATCATAGCCATATACGTATAAAACCCTCTTAGGGGCTTAGAACTGAGCCCGACTGAGATTAGGCTCCTGGGCAGGGTAGATACCACGCTGTTTTCTTGCGTCACTGTCATTTGAAGATCTCGCTGATTTGGAACTGGAGATGTGGCTCATTGGTTAAAAACACATAGCGCTCTTGCAGCATTTTGAGTTTGGTTCCTAGTACATCGGCCGTGGCTCTCTACCTCCTGGAACTCCAGCTCTAAAGGACCTGATGTCCTGTGCTGGCCTCAGCGACCCCTGTACTCATGCAAACCCGCACACTCTCATACCCACGTGATTAAAATTTCTAAAAACTCAAATTAAAAAAAAATTCTGTTACTAATAAAAATAACAACAGGATGATTCATGCCTGCCAGCCGGAGAACTAGCCCACTCTTTACCATTTTTCTAGGTCTTCTGTGTGCTGTTTGTGTGTTTTCATAGGAGCAGCTAGAGGATTGACTGTAGAATTTTTGAAGGTATTTTTTGGGCTGCCTTCTGGTTTACACTAGAAAATGAGAAGAGTATTTTTACAGTTCATTCTTACATTCCCTTCCCCCCTTTTTTAAGCCTTGGTACCATTTAATTAAGATTCATGAAGAACTCATGCTTCAGACCTTATGGAAGCTGCAAATGAACTGTCTTAGCAGCCTGCACTCTGCCCTCGAGATGAGCAGACTCCCTACCCTTAGCTCTGTGTCCCAGTGATCTGTGCTCCAGCTGCCTGCCTAGTGCAGGGAACTGGAGTAGCAGTCTTCTGGCATTCTGCCTAGCGGGTGCATGCGTGCGTGCGTGCGTGCGTCTGTGTGGGGGGGAGGCGGCGGGGGGTGCGATGAGGCAGTGTCTCTGTAATCCTCGTGGAGTAGAAGCTTCTCCTCAGTGCCTTTCTCACATTGAGCCGAGCCGAAGGAAGCGCACTGGGTCTTCTGCCGTTGAGTTTCCCGCAGCGGAACACTCTGATGACAGATGGAGCTGATGTGTCCTTGGGGCCCATAGAGATGCTCCACTGTGCCGCCGCCGTTAGCGCTCAGGTCAGCCTTCACGCAGAATCCCGTTTGCCTTTTGTGTGGGAATTGGAAGATCACGGTAAACTCCATGATTGGTAGAGCCTGGGAATGAGCCGTGGGCTTGATGTTTTCGGGGACCATTCTTTTACACAGCCTTAGTGATTCTGCCCATGGCTGCCTGGTGATCTTTGTAACTTAGTGACATTTAGGATCACCTTTCCAGGCATTTTTGTCTGGTGTTCACAGAGCTGGCTATAGCATGTGCTTTCAGGTTCTTTGTGTCTGAAACCTGGCTCGGTGCTGCTTGCTCAGGTACGGCCACCAATGGAACCTCAAGTAGGTACACTCCTGATCTTGGCTGTGCAGGTAGGTGGTGTGGAACTGCAGGTGCACCCAGGCCCTGGTGCCTCGGTTCTGGGCGCCTCCCACTCCCGACAGCTGCCTAATCTTATTTACTCTCCTGGAGCCTCTCATCTTCCTAAACAAGCAATAACAACATGAAGGTCCATAACTCCACACCCCCGTCCAGCGTATGTGCGTGTCTGCACCTGCCTTCTCTCTGAACTTGGTCTCTTTACAGCTTTTCTGTATGATTCCTACCCCCAGAGCTCCCCTCCCCCGAGTTCTACGTTAAGATGTGGTTGGGCTTTTCCAGGCTAGACTGCACATCCATGTTCTCTATCCCTGTCCTCTCGTCTCTGCATGCTTGCCCTATGGTGCAATTAAGTTGAGAAGGGAGCCCGAGCTAAGCATGTTCTTGGAACTGTGTCCTCAGGGCTGTGTGAGCATTTGGTACAGCACCTCCATACCCTTCAGCCCCATTCCCAGTGAGTCAGCCCATCCCCCAAAACGGCAGCAGCTGCTGAGTGTGACTATGTGTCCAGTTGTACCCAGAGGCCATGAGACACATGCTCAGGGCTAATCTCTTCTGACCTGCTGCATGAATAGGCTCAGTAGCCCCAGAAAGGCGGATGGTGGCTCAAGCCTTGAATTCTAGGTGCCTAAACAGCTTAGGATTCCAGCCACCCGCAGCTCCCCTGCTGTGGAATGCCCATGATTCCACAGTGCTGAGAGTCCAGCAATGCCGGGGAGGTTTACCAGGGAGATGTGCTGACTGTGAACTGCAGCTTATTTTAGGAAGCTCTTGCTATGACACGCCCTGTGTGGCCAAGGCTGCCAGTCAGCAGATCGTGGCTCGCGAGTCTCCACGTACAGCCGCCAGGGTCCTAATTAATAACAGCAGCAGGCATTCAGCTCTTCCTGCCCGCACGTTTGCATGACTTCCCGTGTGTGGTGCCAGCGAGTGAGGCCCAAAGGATCCGAGGTTCTGATGGTTATCAGATGTCTCTGTTGTCCAAGGATCTAGTGCTGTATCCACAGGCCCTTTGATCCCCATACTTTGCCTTCCCATTGGGCTGCATGTTTAGATTTTAGCACATCCCTGAGTGCTGATAGGATGGGGGGTTTAGTGATAGTTGGAGCCTTCAGGCTCAAAAGTGTTAGATGTATTTATGGAAGTACAGATGAGCAGTTGGGTCCTAGGAATTGTGAGTTGAGCTGGGCTCCATATTCAAAATAATGACATTAATGATTCAAAATAAAACATCTCTATAGAGGTGCATGCGTGCGTGTGTGTGTGTATGTGTGTGTAATCCTATATTGGTATGTAAACATGAAGCTCATGAGACCCTGGGTTCCATCCTCATTGTGACAAACTAAGCTGAAAAGGCAGAAATGATTTTTGCCGAATATGATTGATATACGAATCCCTTTTTTTAAAATTAATTCTCACTTGATAGAGGATCTGTGGAGTTTTGGGACCCCAGTTGAGTGTGCACCTGTTTATTGCTGAGTTCCATTATAAAGTCACTCCTCTATGTGCCCGCTGTCGTAGGTGGTACTCCCTTTGCTTCCTGGCTCATGGCCTGTCTCTTGCTCTCTCTACAGTGCTGCACACACAGGGCCCAGTTGATGGAAGCCTGTATGCCAAGGTGAGGAAGAAGAGCGCCTCGGATTCTGGCATTCCTGGAAGCCCTCAGGGCATGCCAGCAACCAGCAGTCCAGACCACGGTGATCACACCCTGTCAGTCAGCAGTGACTCCGGCCACTCTACTGCCTCTGCCAGGACCGATAAGACAGAAGAACGCCCAACCCCGGGTGCACAGAGGGGCCTGAGCCCTCAGGAGAAGGCTGAGTTGGACCAGCTACTCAGCGGGTTTGGCCTGGAAGAATCTTCGAGCTCCCACAAAGACATGACTGACGTGCACAGCAAGTATAGCGGGACGCGCCACGTGGTGCCAGCCCAGGTCCACGTGAACGGAGGCACGGCCCTGAAGGACCGGGAGACGGACATTCTGGATGACGAGATGCCCCACCATGATCTGCACAGCGTGGACAGCCTGGGCACTCTCTCCTCCTCCGAAGGGCCCCAGTCAGCCCACCTGGGCCCCTTCACCTGCCTCAAGAGCAGCCAGAACTCCCTCCTGTCTGACGGCTTTGGCAATGGTGTTGGTGAGGATCACCATGGTGCCCTTTCTCCAGACCTAGGTCTTGGTGTGGACTCTCTCTATGAGCGGGAGCGGATGTGTGGGGGCCGAGAGTCAAAGCAGCTGCAGCCCCTGCTGAGAAAGCCTTCTGCACCCACTCCACCACAGGCCTATGGGCAAAGCAACTATTCCACCCAGACCTGGGTGCGCCAGCAGCAGATGGTGGCTGCTCATCAGTACAGCTTTGCCCCAGACGGGGAGGCCAGGCTGGGCAACCACAGTACAGTGGACGACAGTGCTAGCCTTGCCCAGCCCCAGCCCCACCTCCCGGTCACTCCAACTCGTGGAGCCAGCAGCAGAGTGGCCGTTCAGAGAGGCATCAGCAACGGACCAAATCCCCCCGACACACAGCCACTCTGTCCTGGTAAAGCGCTCCAGCCAAGATTTCCAGAGGACAGAGGCATGAACGGAGTCCATCAGGAGCTGAACGCTAGTCATTCCCCAGGCTCTCCGACTCTGGATATCGACCAGTCCATTGAGCAACTTAACAGGCTGATCTTGGAGCTGGATCCCACCTTTGAGCCCATCCCCACACACTTGAATGCCCTCGGCATCTCAGCCAATGGCTCTGTCTGTGCTGATGGTGTGGCAAGTGGGCTCCGGTGTGGTGGCAGGCTGAACCCGGTGGAAGGCCCTGGCCGGAGTCCTGGCCAGCAAGGTGAGCTGATGAAAGACCAAGGTCAGGTAGGAAGTTGTCCAGCTGGGGATTTGGATTTGCTGAAACTCATTTCCTTGACAGTTTCTACCCTGAGCCGTGACATAGGATACAAGTGGTACCTTGGCACTATGGGAGCTTGGTAGCAGATTTGAATGGTGGGAAGGAAGAGATGCAAAACTTGCCTCTAAGGATGTTCGGGGCAGGAATTGAGCCCCTTGAAGAGGAATATTGGTGTCTTATTCCACACATTTGGTCACATCTCTTGGGGAGTACAGTGGGCTATTTGAGAACACCGGTAGCCACCTGCTAGCTGTGTGATTCAGAACCTACGCATAAATTGTCTGAGCCTCAGTTTCCTCATGTGAAGAATAAGCTCAACAATGAAGCTTTTTCTCAGTTCAAGAATGTTCCTTTAGGAAGAGGGCCAGGCCTCCCCGTGAGTCAGAAGAATTGTTGGGCTCTCAGTCATCCTTGAGGTCTGAGTTAGCAGTCAGGGTATGCAAGCTGTCCTATTTACAGATATATTGTCCGAGTTCCTCAGACATCACATAGGCTGTTCCTGGGTGGCAGCAGCCACTGTGTGTTAGAGAGAAGTTTGCCTCTAGAGGGCTGAGGGAGACGTGCGCATGGGGGCATGAAGTAGAAAGTGTGGAGCGGCCTCAGAGAAGCTCAGGCAGAGTTGATTCAGGTTCCTGGGTCCTGAGAGCCACCATCTAGAGCCAAGACCATGGGCCTAGGCCTAGTAAGGGAGAAAACGTGGGTGTGAGGACCATCTATGTGCTGCCTTCTCTGAAGCAGATGAGAGTTCGCCAGTTGGCCAGAACTGTGTGGGTCTTTCTGCCTTAGACCCAGGTTTGACACCAGGACGGGGCCTTCTTGGGAAGGCCACGGTTGGTGGCAATGGACAGTGGCCTCTGCCAAGTTTGTGGGAGGGTGTCTTGCAGTCTGTGTCAGGGCGATGAGGCCTGCTTTAGGATCAGGTTGCTAACAGATGTTCCCAGTGTCGGCATGGGTCAAAAAGGTCTGATAGCTGCTGGGGTCACTTCGTCTTTGGATGGGAAAAACAAGCCACAGCGTATGACATCCTGAGATGTCAGCGCTTTCGGATCTCAGGCAGCGCATCCTGAGAAGGGGTCTGGGAGATAATGGAAGGGAAGAGGCTTGGTCTGGGATCTGCACAAGATTATCCCCGGAGGAGACTGACCAAAGTGAGGTCTCTGTGCGAGGGTGGTGAAGCGGCTGCAGGAAGTGGCAGGTGAGATCGAGCCGTGGTTGTTATTAGGAGCCAAGACTTGGAGGACAAGAAAGACACCGCCAGGAAAGGGCTCTCAGCCTTCCTTCTTCCTCTCATGAGTGCTTTTCTGTGCTTCTCAGAGAGTCTGTGAGCGTCCTCCTCGGTTTGTGTGTTAGTGATGCTGATGATAGAAACCTCTGAGTGTGCTGAATATTGCTTTGGGGTCCTAGTACGATGGTTTAATCCTCTTGCAAGGACTCTCGCTACAAGAGCCTAGCCCCGCCTTACCGCCGTGTTTGTGGAGGTTAGTGGGTGATGAACAGTCTTCATTTCACATGGATCCTGTGGAGTAGACCCATGGCCTCTGCCCTCTTTGAAAGACTACACCCTGGCTTATGTCTGGATCCCTCTCTGGGTAGGAATATGGATCCCTGGTAGCAGCATGGATCCTAGCTAACATCAGGGTGGCATGGGCTGCCAGCTAACTGGCATGCTGTCATCAAAGGACAGGACGGCTGTGGTTTTTCACTCATACTGTCTGTGGAAAGGAAAAGCAACGTGCTCTTGAGGACAGGAGATGTGAAGAAAAGCCATACTCGGGCGTTACCTGCCCCGTGCTGGGGTCCGTCACTGGACACACAGCAGGATACTGTAGCTATTAAAGTATCTGGTAGGTACAGGTCACACCTGAGGCTGGAAGGAATGAAAGCTTCTTCCCTGGAATTGTTCTGAGGCAGTGGGCTGGCCATCCGCAACCCCGGGCACCAGGACAGAAAGAGTAGCCGTGACGGAGGACTCAGGCCAGGTCAGCCCCAAAGCTGCATGAGCTCATTGACTCAGATACTTTCAGGAAATTCAGAGTTCTAAGTTTTGACTGTAAATGTAGAGTAAAACTCTACATTTGTTTAACGAATGTTCTTTGAAGATGGTACTTGGGAAGGTTAAATTAAAAGGCTTTTCTCCAGGAACAAAATCTCTTCTGAGGTTTGGAACAGTTTGTGGATGTCTTATGGTGTATATGGGGGGGCGGGGAACACAAGACACAGGCACAGGTGACTGTTTTCTAGTTGACTGGCTGCAGTCCTGAAGGGATTTCCCCTTCCTGTAGCAAAGCTGGTATAGGACCAGGAACTGAAGAGCATCACTTTGGCTCCCGCCCTCTCCTTGGTAATTATTAAATTACTGAAGAAATGGATCATGTTACTAACTGGAGGTTTATTTTAATCTTAGATCCTCTTTAGTTTCTTTTCTTATAAAGATAAATACGATTTTCAAATGGAATAACTTTCCTACTTAAACAATAGATTAGCAATTTTTAAATCCATCTGTGTTTAACAGGCATCCTAGGCCATTGTCAATCCTTTGGAACCATAGTGTGGTATCACAGGAATATATTGTATCTCACAAAACTGGGACTAGACTCTGAAGGTGTTTTTGAAATCCGGAATCTTGCTGCACATGAGATGCTGTCCCCAAGCAGCAGCTGGGAAGCTCAGCATGAGGACAGAGCTGAGCCGGTGACACCCTTCCTTTAGCCAGGCTTCCTGTGTTAGGTCAGCACCCAGCTCCAAATGCAGTAAGGCCGAGTCTTGTACTGTATTTCATTTAAGAAGCCTGGGTGTGGTGCACCTGTCTCCTGGAACTCAATTCAGGACTTCTTGTTTTGACGAAATCCCATCAAGAGAATGCTTATATACTTACTCCCCCTGAGTGAGGAAGGGACAGTCTTTTCTCACGGTTAAGTAGAGAAAATGCTCAAACTCCGTTGGTCTCAAATTTAATAATGGAATTTAAAATTTTTGTTTAATTTTTTTTTATGTGTATAGGTATTTTGTCTGCCAGCATGTCTGTGCACCACTTGTGTATCTGGTGCGTGTTGAAGATGCTGTCAGGTCCTCCGAAACTGGAGCTATAGGAGATTGTTACTCACCACGTGGGTGCTGGGAATCCAACATGGGTCCTGTGGAAGAGCAGCTGGTGCTTTTAGCCACTGAGCCCTCTCTAGCTCCTGATCCAAAGATTTAAATTTCAGTGTCTCCGTCCCTGTCTCTGAATGGAAAAGTTCAGTCATGCATGATGTAAAACGGAAATCTCCAGAAATTAGCAGAGAGATTCAGAAAAATACAAATGGCTAAGCAGCTCGTTTTGAACCCCTAGAAGTTCTGCAGTGATAGAAACCCCTGCACTTTGAAAGATTCCCAGGTCTGTTTGTCCAGGCCTGTTTTCTCGGTCAGTGGGGTGGGGAGGGATAAGAGCTGCTGAGCTAGGGTCCTCTGTGTGTGGCTGTCAGCTGGACTGTGCTGAGTAAGAGGGGCCCAGTGAGACAGAAAGACTTCATGTCGTCCCCAGGACATTGCTATTCATGAAACCTGGCCCCATAGTGGACATGGGATTGCCTGACTGCTGTCTTTCTGAATCTTGTACACACATGAAGATTCTGGGCTGCAAAATTCCCAGAATGCTCTATCTTCTTCATGCTCTGTTCCTCCCTGACCCACCTTCCCTTCTGATCCTGAGGCCAACTTCTCCTGTGCTCTCTGTTGGGGTTATAGATGCAGGTCCACTGTAGGATACCTGGACCACAGCATCCTCAAGTCACTAAAATCCTTCACTTTCCGGATCATGTCTTGAATGCAAGAAACCAGGTGAGGGCAGGCAGTTCAATTGGGAGGCTTTTGCTACCTCAGAGTGCCCACCGGCCAATAAGACTGCTCCCTCACTCTGGTGCGATCGACTTTGATTGGACCTTGTTTGAGAGCCCAAGTTGTTTCATTGACAGACCCCCCCCCCCCCAGCCTCTGCTCCTCTCCCCCACTCCAATTCAGCCTGCAAATGGGCTGCCTTCTGGGATCACAATGGAATGGCCCGGCTACCTGAGTAACCAGAGAAGGGAGCCAAACTATGAAGCCTCTCCTTCTATGCATCACAGAAAGCTGGCTGCCATTTCCATACCTTGGGGACTTCTTGCTTCACGCTGTTAAAATCTTTGATTCTTGTTACATTAGGCTCCGTGCCCCGTAGCAGGAAGCTGGCAGGCACTTCTTGCCGATAGCATCCTGACCCTTCCTGGCCATGTTTTTAGAATTCCTGTGCTGTGGGAGGCGTGCTTCTCAGTGAAGCTTCAGAATGCAGCCCTTGGGTGCTTCGATGGCAGGGACTAGAGACTTGTGGAAGGGGAGACCCGCGTACAGTTCGCCTTTGCTAACATAGTTCAGTCCCTGTCACTACTAGCAAGTCAAGGAATCTAGGGAGTGCTCCATGAGCTCCTCACAGGCTTGGCTGGTGCAGGGCTGCTGGCCAGGTAGATGTCCCCAAAGGGTGTGAAATGTTGGGGGAAGCTCAGTGCTAACCAACCAGCACCGGCAGAGGTGTCAGGGAGTAATGCTGGATGGGCGGGGTGGGTCCCATCACAGGTTCAGTCTTGTGTTCAAGGAGCCCAGAGGGTGAGCCATGGCCTCTTGGGCCTCTTGGGGCTTGTCTATATGATCAACTGTCCCATCAGTGGTGAAAGTGGATCTGACAGTTGACACTGTGGGTCAGGAGTCATAGCCCAGATACTGGAAGGGTGGGACTAGGTTCATGAAAATGCCATGGGTTGTGTTTGCTTCCAGCTCTACAGAAGTGTTTCAGATGGGAGAGAGTTCCGCACTGGGGATGTAGCTCTGTGGTATAGCATTGCTTGACTGGACGGAGGGGAGCCCTTGGGATTTGTCGCTGCAGGGGGTGGGGAGCTACCGGGTCTCAGGGCTTCTAGCAATACTACACT